CTACTTGTGAAACATATTCAAATGAAATATTAGTTTAAATGAACTTAGGTGATTACAGCTAATAAGGAAGTCAAACATTTACAGTGCATTCAAAATCAGAATACATTAACCCTTAGGAGACGATAGGACTGATCAATTGGCTGAAAAGTCAAATGACAAAGACACGGCAGATCCATCCAGCCAATAATATAAGCCTTAAGATTAGTTGGCTGGTCTTTGTACCAGCCAATCAGACTGCTTCTCACATGTTCTGCACATCTGAGCCTTTCAATGGTGGTTTCTACAATAGTTTGGTGTGTTTTGTAATTTTATATCAATTTTTTGTGTTCCAAACGAGGTCTTGTGAAAAGGGCTCAGTCTTCTTGGCACTGAATCTCTAAATGAGGCTGTCCCCAAAGGGTTAAGTAAACAAATGGAATTACAAGTTATTATTAAAAATAGATTAAACTTAAAATATGGTAATGATCAGACAAAAAAAAAAAAAAAAAATTACTTTAAAATAAACAAAAATTCAATCTACAATAAATGAGAATTCTGTTTGCCTGATAACAGCTGGTTCAAAGATCAAATATTAATCACTGATTTTTTTTTTTTTTGACATAATCGAGGTTAGCAAATTTTCATAAAAGGCTCTAAGCAAACTAAATATAGATTTTAAAGTAGAAATAATTTCTTAAACACAATTAGAGACACTAGATCACAAGAATAAGAGACATTTCAGTAGAGAAGCATTAGTAAAAATTTATAATCTTTAAAAAAAAAAAAAAGTTAATACTAAGAATTGTTTCAATAAAGTACTTTTTGGTAACACACATTTACTTAGCCTACCAAAAAGAATTAACTAGTTTATACTACTCCAAACCAGTGAACTATTATACCGACAAACACAGTCTAATTAGTATGAAGAACATTTAAATTATTTCAACATACAAGTTAAAAAATGTTTTGTATTTTGATGTACATAAATTGTATTAAAAGTAAACTTTACAAGTATAAATAATTGGTTTTCATGAGGCATTGAGATGAGACAACAAATGGAGATAGGGTATACAAATCTTTTAATCTTTTTCCAATTTAAAAACTTCCTTCCAAAACAAGTCAATGAAGAAAGAGTTCAGGGATATTTTGCATGTTCAAGGAACTTTGAGAGGGACTGCACTTCAAGAATACAAGTGAACATACAGAGGTTGAATAAACCACAAACAGGATGCACATGTGTGCATGAGGGGGAGAGAGAGAAAAGTTACTCAATCAAAAAAAGAAAAGAAAAAGAAAAAAAAAAACCTAGGAGAGGGAATAGAAAATGTATAAATTATCAATAGCTTAAATGTTACAGGATAAACAGATTCATACAGATAAGTTTCATATACAATAATTGATTGAAATATCAAATGATCAAGTCTAGCTGAAATTTAAATGTTTGACTAATAAAAAAAAAAATAAATAAAAAAAACCTAATGTAAGTGAACAAAGATCAATGTTTGGCTCATTGGCAAATAAGAAATTAGGTCAACATCTAAGTATTTATTAGTCAGTTGAACTTTCACAAGTGCTGCAATTTATAAGAAAAAATATCTATAGGATCTATTCATAATTGTTAAATAGGTCTCTTATAGATAAGCCAGATATTTTAAAAGAGTGGGATTGTAGATTTAACAAGTACTTAACTGAATACCAACCCTGAGAGTTTTTACACACACAAGGGGGGGAGGGAGCCTGTCAGCTTGTGGAAGGGAAAAAAAAAAAAAACTTGCAACCTTCAGATATATACCAACATGTGCCTGTAAGTGATGAATACAATTTTTTATGAGTTAATATAAATCTTTATCCAAAAGAGGAAAAGTAGTTAACACAATGTTTAAATAAACAAACACAAGATTAGCATTAATAACAATCAAAAAGCTATTTAAAACCTGTTCAGCACTATGTTATTTGAAACTAACCCAGTAACAATACAATTTAAAGTAATAAAACAAAATCAAGTATCTAGAGAAAAAAGCTTCTAGAAAGTTGACCTAAATCTAGGAACATCCCATTTGAATTCAATTCACATGAACACATACATGTTGAAATAAACATCCACATGCTTTATAAACATTAAAGATTGCCAAAAAATAATTCTTGAAACATCTCCTGCAGCATTCAACCTATAAACTGCCACTCAGACAAGAAACACTGCACAATAAAAGGAAGTTGGGGAGTCCCCTCTTATTCTTATCAATGCATTTATACGTGCAACATAATGCCGTGGATAACATAAGAGCTCAAACTGACAGTAGAGGCGGTTGATATTATTGCAAGTTTAAGAAAAAAGTATTTTAAAACCAGAGCAAAGAGAAAGTCATTTTAATGATGAGATGCTGAAAAGTTTATATTATTGGACAGCATGTATCCAGTCCCTTGGTCCCTCATTGTGCAAGCCAATATCCTGATCATACTGTAAAACTAGTTATGACATGGCTAACAAAGTCCAGATCAAGTGAAAATCTTTCAAAGATTGGTTATAATGTAAAGACAAGAACAATAATTTGTGGCAAAAATAGCAGAAAGACAAAAAAACCATACTGAGAAACAACAAATTAGTGAAGTCCTATGGTTGCAAATGTGTAAAATTAACAAAAAAACAACCATGGTCATATCACTATTAAGTTGGTGTTGTTACGTTACATGAAAAAACAGTTTTTGTCCTATGACTTTCATTGGTTCGACATGCAAATTTACCATAGTGTAAAACAAGCTTTTAATATTTACTGTAAGTTGTATTATAGTTGAATTTTTATATTTAAAACTAATTTGACTTTCAAAAGTTTTGTTCTGTAACATCAAATGCAACTGCATATTTGCAAAAAGCCAAAATTATTATTATGAGCAATATAAAAAATCAATTTTGCCCAGCTCCCTAACAATCAATATCATGGCTCTGTGTGTGTGGGGGGGGTACTTGAAAGGAGGGAAAAAGGCAACTACCATTACATTGATACAAAGTATCTGATCATTAAAACAGTTTAAAAAAAAACTACAAACCCAAGAAAGAATGACAAAAAACAAAAAAAACATAGCACTTAAGAATTCATGAACAGAATAACTGATTGTTTGAAAAACTAGTTAGCTAGTGGGAAAGGTTTTACCTTGCATTATCTTGCATTTTAAAAATGTTCAAAGTAATATCAGAATCAGAAGAGAAGGCTCCTAAGTTACCTATTCATAATGTTGGAGGTACCATCTCAAGAGTCCTGCATGGATTGCCTCTAGGAAGACCTGATGATCACCACAGAGTCACTGAAAGTGTTGCATCAGAAACTTGTGCTATGGAAAGAAAGATGGCATAGGCCCAGGAAGTCCGTCAAAGACCCGTGTACTATCTGCCTCATAGGTGTTCGATAACAATGCCATTCCATACAGCGTCTGCTCATGTTAAGTAGATGAGTACATGATCCCAACTTCTAAGTATTGCAAAAGGTGAGGCACAACCAAATTAATGGCCACCCGCTAACCTATTACGTGGGTGGCACTTCACTAGCTGCTGCCATCACAGCCCGCTGCCTTCTAGCTAGGACCAGAAGTTATATGTACAACACCTGTGTTTGTATCGTCATGCTAGCAAGACATGGGCCCTGGTATTGGAAGACTTCAACCATCAGTGGCAGAATGATAAGGACATGACACATACTATGCGTGGCATGTCTATTGATGATGATGATGATGTCAGGTTAAATTTTGCTTCTCAAGAAGCTAGGCCTTCACTGCAGCACAGCCATAGTCTATGCTGGGCTGGACATGTTGAGTGCAGTGAGAGGCCTATGACAAAGGTCCATGACGCAACTGTTGAGGGTAGGAAGAGAAGAGGTCAACCCAAAATGACTTGGGAGGATGTTTTCCAGAGGACAGGGAAAAATTGGGCCTAGAAGTAACTGATGATAATGAGACATGCTGAAAACTTCTCCAGTCAAAAATTAAATTAAGTGAACCAAAACCTATAATTATTCAAAACAATGAGGCTTTAAGCTGTAGCATCTAAAATGACAAAGACTTATTTTAACACCTAGGCAACAGTTTGACACCACATCAACTGTTAATTGAATAATTGTAATTTCAGAAAATTAACCTTTTTTATTATTATTATGATGGAAACATTAAAAAAAATATCACTAACCCAAAATTGGATTCTATAATCACTAAAAACAGTTAACAGAAAAAGTAGTACACTGGAAAACTGGCATTAAGAATAACAGCAGAAACAATTTTAGAATGATGATCTCTTCATAGAATTAGTTTCACAAAAAAAAAAAAATTTTCTTCATTATTATCAACATTAAGAATTCAAATAAATATTTAACTCATTGGAATGTTTTTTTTTTTTTATGTGTGTAAAAGAAAAAGGCAGGATACTTTGTAACAAGTGAAAACATTTGTTCACATCTGTGAAGAAGGAGAATAAGAAATTTTTAAGGCCCTTTTTTTTTTGTTGTTGTTGAAACCAAGAAAATAAATATGCTCACGATATGACCACTTTTAAAACTGAGTAGAAGATGAAGATTACCAGCAGAGCAATATTCTATGCCAAAACTTTGAATTTAAAGATTGGAGTCCAGTATAACAGGCATTTTTTTTCAGAAATGAGAAACAAATAGATTTGTGCAACCATAAGAGTTGTTAGAACTCTCAAAGTTTTATATTTTATGTAAGTATCAAAACTAAAATTTTTCAAAAAAAAAAAAAAAAATCAAACAGCAGAGACCTTTAAACATGTTGAATAGTTCTAAATTTCCTAATCATTTTTTATGTATTTTTTTTTTTCCGGGGGGATAATAGCCCATGCCAATGATTAGGAAAATTCTGTGTATACAGAAGCAGCCAAGTTCTATTAGAATAAAAACATTTACATGTAGAACAGAATGAAGATAAGGAAATTTAAAATTTTATCCAAGGTCCAGTTTCTAGGATGAGAGGTAAGTGTTCTTGTAAAAAGAAACCTGAAAAGAATTATTCAGATAACATACCATGCCTGGATTTCTTGCTAATGACAATGTTGCAGATACTGTGTCCACCAATGAACTCTTTAACTTCCTGTAGAGAGAAAATAAAATAAAAAACACAACAAATTAGAAAGCTGAAGACAAGAAATTGAAAATTATTGGAAGGGAGTAGCCAATCATCACAAGAAATTAGAATATTTATTTCCCCACCACAGAAAATTGTAAAGAGAAAACTGTGTAAAGTTTCAGAATCACTCACTTGGAGAGTAAAAAAAAAAGTTAAGAGAAACCGCTGAATTTCCCAACCTCTTCATACAAACATTGCACTATTGCTTATTGAAATATAATTGCTTTCCATTACTAAAAGTCATGAAAACTCACCAAACAGGCATGAAGGAAAAATACCTTCAGCAATTGTTAAACAAAACTTATTCTAATAAGCAAGTTATCTTAAGAGCCCAAGAAGAGGAAATGAAAAATTGGTGGAGTTCAGCCAAGTTCTCTACAGAAGCCCGATAGTTGGGAGTCACACACAAGGCATTTTAAAATGTCAGTAAGAAATAAAACCAAACCTGCTAGTATAAACTTTTCTATTGATTGTATTCTTGCTTTCATTAATTATTTCATCAGCTCTAAATTATTGAATCCTATTACAGAAACTATAGCTCAATAAAAGACTTATATGAGGAACAAGGAAGGGAGGTGAGCAACAGTACACATTGCACACATTTTTTTAAAGCCTTCATTTTTTTATATAAACCTCTTAGCAAACAAAAATCTTTGAAATGGTTTTCTTTATTTAGACCAATTACATTAAACCTCAAAAACAATCTTTAGTGCCCTGTTACAAATGACAACAAAGCCAGATTTAGTCATACATTCTAAACTTTTGCTACTGAAGAGTTTTTTTTTGTTTTTTTTAAATATTTTAAGATTCTTTTAGCAGATAAATTCACTTATGTAGCCTCATTAACCATTATCTTAACTGTGCCACCACTTCCTCCAGCTGATGCAGACAAGTTTTCCCAAAATGTTTGGAAAATATACAAACAAGATAATCATTAAATGAATAATATGACAAGATAAAAGCAGTTAAGTAACTTGTGAAGAATTCAAATTGCCAGACATATAATAATAGCACCCAAAATGAAAGGACCAATGGAGGTATGTTATGACTGTCTATTCATTTATTAATGAGTTTGTTTCTTATCAATGTTGGTGTCACTTACCATAGTACATAACATGCATAGAAAGAAAAAAAAAAGAAAAATTCAACAACTACAGCAAAATAAGTAAATTAAGTGAGAGATAAGCAGCTGACAAGCTGTAGCCAATGTAAAAGTTGCCTGGGTAGACAGAGGTTGTCAAGTAAGGTTTGGGCAAGTAGAAAGACCGAAGGACAGACATGGCTGCTAGGCAACAGATCTGAAACTGAGGAGGTGGTAGTGGTGGTGACAAGGGAAATATTTGATAGCAGGTCAGAACAGCTTGAAGGCTACTTGTGAATGCCAGTTCCTTCCGATATACTACTTTACTTATAACCAAGTCTGCTGCAAGACATCATTACACATAGCAGTAAGACTGGTAGATAGTGCACCCTTTCATTGACATATTAGCAGTATGAAAGTCATTTCCTGGTTACTGACTGCAAGTCCATATAATGAGATTCAATTGAGGACGATTGCGATCTGTCAAAAACAAGGTGATGACAGCTGATTTTGGAGACAAATGTGTGAAAAAAAAACCAAGTTTTTCTTTAGGTAATATCTGTGTCCCAATTAACAAAAAGTAAAACGTGGAAAGTCAGATCAAGCCTTTCTCAATTCTTACAATTTTGAGACTAGAATTTTAACTCAAATGGCACCTTTAATTTTTAAGTATACTCAAACAAATTTGGTAGAAATGATTAGATTAAAAATCTCTTGATTTAGCCATTTTGTAAGCAGAGGGGAAATATCAAATATATTACATGTCTACAATCAAGTGTTTGTTCCTATATTCATAAAGATTACACAAATACATACTATTTTGGTCAATTAACTTCATATATAGCAAAATTTATAAATAAGAAAAACACTGCTTGTCAAATCTCATACAGTAATTTAATTTTTGTACCTTAGCAAACTCTACAGAAATCAAATCACATTTTGCTTTACCGTTTTATCTTATTTGAACCTGAAATCTAACACACTGGTAAAACAAGTTGTTAAAAAAGCTTTTCCACTTTATCCCATTATCTCCACTTTTGTTTCAGACATTATTATACACCTTGCTAACACAATGTAAGTAAAACTTATCTTTCAAAACTACAGCTAGTTTTTATACTTTTCAAGTGGTGATTCAGTTTTACCAAGACAAATCAAAATGTTCTACATCAATACAGCCATTTGGGTTCCATTTTTATACCTTTCAAAAACTGTAAAACCCTACCAGATAATCTATTTTTAATGCACAAAAGGAGGGCAACTCTTGAGAAGTCAACTTTATTGCACAGTATATTTGATATTACTTGAGAGCAATTCTTCTCAATGATACTAAAGTGAAAAAATTAAAAGTAAAATATATTCCTGGTTATTGTAAAACAAATTTATGCAGTAGCTCCAGCAAAATTTTGATCATCTCAAAGTTATAGCACCCATCTGAAATATGAAAAAATCTTTAAAAAGTGCTATTTAAGAACTAAGCAAAATTAAACTTTTTAGATAAAACAATGTCTGACGTAAGTTATGACAGTAATACCTAATCCCAAAGGCTGAGCAATCAACTTTGTAGTTTAATACCAAGAAGCTAGTAGAAAGTATTTAGAGATAAAAGCTTCAATAAAAAAAAAAAAAAATCTACAAGTGTTTCAATGAGTGATATTAATATTTGTCATTTAGTACATAGCATAATTTCCTTTTGTAATTAAGGAAAATACAAGCCTGTCCTTTTGTCAGCTCTTACAAACCTACAAATTAGTTCCCATTTCCAAAGAAATGCAATTGATAAATATGAAAAGGCAATTAACAATACATAACACAAGGGAAATGAAAAACACTAAAATAGCCACTGAAATTCTAGATCTCTCAGTAAGTAATAACAATCTATATCAAATAGTGCTGCCAGATCTCTATCAAGTAGGTGTGTTTTAGAAAACCGGGTTTTATTGCTCTAAGAAAAATAAATCCTCAAAAAATTTAAAATCTTTTTAAAAAGTAGGAAGTCTATTTACAACTTAGTTTTAAATATAAGTGGGTGGAGATAAAATGAAGCTACAAAATTCTAAATTTTAGCACGGGCAACTAATTGGACCGAGTGCTGAAAACAAAGGTAAACCTATCCATTCAGTGGTACAGATACTAGAGGTTGCAATGACAATTAGGTCTTTGTCAAACCCCTCTACCTAAAAAAAAAAAAAAAAAAAAAAAAAAAAATACTGCAGTTGGCAAGCCACAAAAATGCAATATTAGAAATACTGATGTGCTTGCAAGTTGTAGCAGATAAACAAAACAACCAGTGATAGAGCACCTTACCTACATGATACACAGCAGTATCAGAAGTAATACATATAACCAAATGTCATTTTGGGCAACAAGTGAGAGCTAGTAAGTAATAAGAGTTCTTTTGTAAAATATAGAACAAAATTACTTAGATTATATAGAACCAAAAGTTAAGCATTATGACATCAAAAAGGTAATAGTGAGACTAATATTTGTATCTATGAAAATGCTTATAAGTATCAACTAACAACCAACAATTTAGTGCTCAAGTATGTTAAATTGGCTCAAATATTTAATTCACATGAACCAAAAGACAAAATCTGAAAAATTAAAGGATACAGTCATCACAGAGCAACTTTCATTTTAATTTCAACAGTAAAAGCAAACATTGTAAACTAATATAATAAATCTACTCATCCACAATTTTACAACAGCATCAATGTAAGAAAACCAAAATATGCCATTAATGAAACAAAAACAAAACACAATCTCCAGCAGCCCTTCAAATGTCTCAATCCGTTAACAGACTATTTGAAATAGTAAACAGGAAGAGGGTCAACAAGACTGTAGCAAATGGAATGGTGCCTGACAATAGTTTGAAACATTAAAATCATTATGTTTCAAAAAACATTTTAAATGACATGATTATTTAATTTTTATTTTGCTTTGGAATATAAACTTATTTTCACTAGCAGCTTAAGAAACAGAAGATTCACTTTTATTTGTAAACAGTTTTTTTTAACATAAAGTATCTTTAGTGATGGTATTTCTTTGTTATCTATTTACATTTCTAAAATAAAATTGCCAGCTATAATACTGAAAATTAAGCTTAGGTTACATTATTTTTTTTTTATTTTTTAAAATGGTCTATTGCTCAGACATTGTTTTCAAAGCTGTAACTGCCTTTTATGTTAAAAGCTGACATTAGCTTCTAAGTCAAAGCCAATAAATAAAAAATGTTTTTCTTTCTGTTACCTTCAATACCTTTTATTTACTGAGTATATTTTAAAACATTATCTAGGAAAATAAGTATTTGAATAAAAGACAAGGTTTTTATATTATCGTTCGTATCAGTTCAGCAGTATCTATTACCATGCACTCAACAAAAGAGAACTGGAACTGATTTTAAAGTAATGCCTCTAAGATTTAATTTCTTGTGATGTCTTCAGAATATTTTCTAAAGCTATGAGTAGCCAATATTCTTTTTCTGCATCTCACTTATAACTAATTATCATCCAACTTAAAAAAAAAAAAATTCTCTTAACCCATAACATCTAAACATACAAGAAATGTACACCAGATTAAAATTTTAAGCTAAGCATTGAACTCCAATTAGATTAGTACAAAACAAAGAGAAGTACCCATATAAGAAACAAGTTACATGAAAACCAACAAACTTTCAAATCTAATATTCATTTCATGGTGTAAAAAGAAAAAATGAAAGTGAACCATGAAGGTGTGTAAATGTTAACTATTAACAAAAGGAACAAATTTATTCAATGTGTTTAAAGGGCTATGATCAGCAAGGCTTCTTTTGGAGGAGTGTCACTCCTGGAAATCAAAGAGACAGGAACTAGTATTAAACATATTCAATTTATCCCACAGAATTGAA